TGATAAAATAAACATTACTTTACTACGAGGGTAGTATATCCACGACATATACATATATTGTCATGATTTCGACCAAAAACAATAATCAAATTCATTTTTAAGACTGTCTTCGACCTATGGTTGACAAACAGTGTGAATAATAGCATTCGGCGATGTTAATCTCGGTCAACCTTATGTGTATACATAACTTCAATAACATAGGTACAGTCACCTCCAATAAAGTGTAAGTACTTTTGCACTTTCGCTCTCAACTTTCGCACGAACAGCGGCGGTTGTATAGACGAGATAAAGCGACGAATGGCAATCACTAGGTCAGCGATGGAGAAATTGCAAAGAATGCAATGAAAAAAGAACTCGGCTTGTACGATCGCTTGTACTCTCCATATTCCTTTATGCGTCCAAAACGTGGACCCTACGAGAGAGTGAGAAAAAGAAGATAGACCCGCTCGAGATGTGGTGCTGGAGAAGAATGCTGAAGATACCTTGGACCACCAATGTACTAAAAAGGCAGCGACTAGGTGGCGTCTGGTAAAGCAGATCACTGATACTTGACGACCATGACCAATCTGACAAAACTGTAACGACGAAGAAGAAGAACTTTCGCACTTGTCTACAGAGTATAGCTGACCATTAAATTGGTTAGATCATTGGTGTCTTGGAGATATAAAAGAACCACGGCTGACCATTAAATTGGTTAGATCATTGAAGTGTTACAGATATAAAAGCACTACAGCTGACCATTAAATTGGTTAGATGATTCATGTCTTGCAAACATGAAAGCTGCATAGCGGACCATTAAATTGGTTAGATCAGTCATGTCTTACAGACATGAAAGGAGCACGGCTGACCATTAAATTGGTTAGATCATCTAATCGTTAAATCGATAAGTTCATTTACAGCCTGAAAAGTGGTCAAGTACATAAATTAAGAAGATTGAAACCCTGATCGATAAATTGATATTACGAGTGGTAAGAAGTTTGAAGCTAAAATTTCTGTGAGGCAAACTGTTAACTAAATTAAGGTGAGAAGTAACTAAATTAAGGTGAGAGGAAATACATTATCTACAATAAAATCAAAGTAATGACTGTTAATCAACTATATGCCTACAGTACATGTTTTATCATTAGAAAAATCATCAATAACATGTCGCTTGTAAAGTTACAGATTAATAAACGCAGCACTCGGCGAGCAAGTCTAATGGTTGTGCCGAAAGTGAGTGGAAAGAGATATATGTATAACATACGAAGGAGTACAGCTTTATAAGTTGTTACTGTCATCTTTATAATGTAAGTTCATTTAATCAACTTAAATCTAAGCTAGTTGAATACATTTTAGATTTTTGGAAAAAAGTAAAGTAATTTTAAGTCAAATCAATGGCGACTATATTATGTACATTGTACGATATTGTTTACAAGTAAGTGACTATTCCTTTGTCTTTTTGAGAAGTAATTCTTTTAACCCTGTTATAAGCACCTTACTACAAAATACGTAGTACAAAATGATATAAAATGTGATTGACTATTAGTCACGTTTTGTTATGAATATTTACAATATGTATAACGCAATTTCTAATATTATATTGCCATTTACTAAAGTCATCATAATTGGCTTTATTAACGAATTCGTGGCTAATGCTGGATTGGTGAAGTTTCCAGAGATACTATTAACTACGAGTATATGTAAGTTCAAATCTCGTGATGTACTGTGCACTAAACGAATTTCGATTCAATAATTGTGAAACAGATAAGTAGTTTCCGCTTCCGGCGATAGATGACTCTGTATTTAAAATACATCTGAAATTGATTTTATTGCTCTAATTTGGTAAAAATAAGAGCGGAAACGTGTTTTTCTTTGATAATGACATACTACAGTTGCCGTAAAATAGAATAAATAACGGTTAATGTTTTCTTTCTGAAATAGCTTTATTTATAGCATAATTATTGGACCAAGTCATGGAGGAATTCATTGTAAAAGTCGCTGTTTAGGCAACTCCTCGCTGAGGACACACTAGTCGCAGTCGGGGTATGTTGAAGCTGGATTTTGTTATCAATAACCCGCAAAAAATTGGTGAGTCAACTTGAATTAAGTTTTAACGGCTTGAAACTCAATTTAGGGAGTAGAAATACCGATTTATGAAATACTGAACCAAAATCGCACTATGGACTTATTAAAACGACTTTAGCACACCGCCTAAAAGTGTGTTTAAAATCAGAGAGATCTTGTTGACATATAATTTTACTTTTAAATGGCATTCCATTTGGATTATTATGAGCTGAAAAAAAAACGATTGTGGAATAAAATGCTATCGCTTAGTTCTACTAACTTAACTATTTTCATACATAATATCTACTGTTTGATTGTAAATAACATTAGAGAATAAACGGCAATGACAAGTTCATTTGCTGACCTGTGAAAAGAAGGGACAAAGAGTTTGTCTCTTTATGTTTATTTATGTTACGCTTATATTGAAAAAGACTTTTACTATGTTCAGAGTAGTCATTAGCAATTCATTGTTACATATAGGTTGAACATCTGATAAATTGAAAACTTATAGTGGCATTTAAATATTGTCCATCAAGTTAAATATAAAGTTCAACATAATTGAATACCGTCAGTGACTCTGTGTTGTGGGTTGAAAGATCTCAAATAAGCTGGGAAATAAATTTGGTAATTAAATATAAAAAAGGTATAAGTCTTGACTTTTGAAACCTTCATTCAATAGAAAATATAACATCTTTGAAGGAGAAGAAACATTAAATTGTTAACATAGTAAGTTAGTCATTTTCAGGTTATGTATTAGAAAAAGAAAATTATCATTGACTATTCCATAATATAGGGACAGAACATTCTTATTGATGCGTGGGTGGCTTCATCTGTCTGTCTGTCTATCTGACCTTCTTTCAAGCGGGAACTGCTGGGCCAATTTGGATGAGGTTTGGTACATTGATGGACAGGAGCCTGGGACCATTGTCATGGACTGATTTTGATGTATTGGAATATGTGAAGTTTGTGCGAGTTTTTGTGGGTTTAATATGTTTCAGTATAAAACTTAGTAATATTAAGTGATTAGCCTAAGTGACTGAAATGCTATCCAAGTCACTATTTCGTGCGAGCGAAGTCGCGGGCACAGTTACATCAGTTACAGCTTTTGGTGTTCCAACCATCTAGTACTGTGTCTACAGTGCATAGCATTCATAGTACAGAGTAAAATTTTATTATTACTACTAGCGTAAATTATCACGTCTAGGATACATTCAAACTGTTAAGTACTGTTAATTATTAAACATATCTTTTTAGCAAAATATTTGGCTTCGACATTAATAATTTACACAAAGATAACAAAGTAAGCGTCAATTAAAATCCTGCTTCCCATACGGTAGAGACAGGTATTGATGGCGATATTGAAGTTCGGAATATTTTAACGTGACAAATGCCAAGACGAAAATAAGTTTATTTAAAATGAATTGAGGGACACTGGCGCGTTCTAAATAACAAATGGAAGGAAGTAGAGCATATAGAAGGAAGAAATAATGGAAACTTGGAAGATAAGTATAGGATGGTAACAAATATCTATGCAGTTGTTGTGAAAATAATTATTAAGTGAATTTATAGAAAAATGTTTATTAAAAAGTTTATTAAACTTACAAAATGGATATACATGTAGAAGCGTAGAGAAACTTAGAAAATCGAATTTTATGTATACTTGTATTCTATTAATTGATAGTTTTAGAATACAAGTACCTATACTTAGCAAGATTAAATATATTAAAAAAAGGAAGGGATGTAGTGTATGCATAAACGTAGTGTTGTTTGTCTCGAGCGTACACGCCATAAGTACATGCCGGAGAGAGGGGACGTCAGTCGATGTCAGACCTTTGAGCCGGCAACACGTGTCGGTACGTGAACGAGCCAAATATAGCACAACAAATGCTACACATAGTTTAAATGCTACTACTTTTAAAACTACTGATATTGCTCTTTCTACGGGTAAATATTTGCATGGCATAATTAAAAAAGCATTGTTTGTTTTGTCTATGGATAGAGCATGAATAGAAGTGTCCAATACGCTCGTTGTTTTTCCATCGCTCAGTTTGCCAATCTGGCTAGATTAAATGCCATGACTGCTTAACGGTCTCGTACTTTTATTACGCGTTTTTATATTTTTTTAAACATTTTCGTTGAGATTTAACATTTTACTTAAAGAGAAAAAGTGATTCGCATTATTAAATAAATTAATCACGATACCGATCTCTGAATGCAAAAAAACTCGAATAATTTATAATATGTGCATTTCAAGTACTGCAATTGAAAGCAGAAAATATAGTGTGTTCGTGAATTAGTGGTCGGTGCAGTGGAGGCGCGGGCCAAGGGCCGCGTCGGACGCCCGTAATCCGACACCTCTTGTACTTGATGTTCGCTACTAATTTGCGGGCCTCTGCGCATTAGGGCTGTCAATATTTTTTTCATTAGCATAAAATTTAATTAACGTTTTTTTTTTACATTTAGTTGATAGTGATTACTTGTAAGTTAAAAGTTGTGACAACCGTCATAAAAACAAAAGGTGTCTTACTAGTATAACTAGGTTATTCTAGACATTGGCTGACTGTATCGTTATAATTGTTCAAAAATTAATAAACAAGTTCCAAAAGTTTATGACAGTGAAGGTAATATATGCAAGTAGTCCGTGTTAGTTTATTTGTGCAATTTAATAGCATCGCAATGATATATCAGTATGATCGACTGTCAATAAGAACGCGCTGTGGTACCAGGACGTGTTCGTTAGTGCGGGTAGAAGCGCGATATCGCATGTCGATAGCCCTGACGGACGCCATCTTGCGACCAAAGAGGCGGAACCCCACAACGGATCGCGTTGTGTTGGCACGACGATAAATCGAATTTCGCCAGGGACAGCGGTGAAGTACGTCGAGATGGACACCACAGATATTTAACTATGTATGTACTTTTTTTTAATTAATAGTAGTTTTACTATTAATAATAGTTTTAGTTACCAATTCAACTAATATTCATAATTCAACTTTCATAAGCTTTTAACTTGTACTAAGTATCGTTCACGATAATATTCGATACGCGGGATTCAAACACACTTCAATGGTTTTCCGTACCCTTAACCATTTTGAAACTTTGAAAACTCGTATAAGTCCATTATCCTCCATTCTTGTAACGCCTATATGATATAAAATAAAAGCTTTTGTCAATATATTTTTTTATAAAAACTTAATAGCTTTCCCACAAATAGTTATATAAAAAAAGCCATCAAAATTTATATACCCACTCAATACTATTTCTAGTTGCGAATCTATTTCGATCAAAATGGGAATCCATGTTATTTTTAGCCTAATAAAGTGCCTTGACAAATGTTTACGTGCACAAAGTTCAAGAATTGTAATCAATAAACATCTCTTGGTCACGCAGAGACAATGCGCCCGATAAGAGGCAGCGGGTCGTTGTTGCGCGCTGCGGTCATACATACTCGTGCATTTCTCTTCAACTCCCTGTTTGATAACGTAATGACTTTCTAGATTGACTCACTCTCGCCTCGGACACATGTAAACAACGGACAAATGTATATATGTATTTATACACATGTATACGCGAGTAATTCAAGTTCTATGAACTGTAGACAAGGCGATATTAAATTTATGTCAAGACTTATCTGGAATGAATTTTGTAATGGCACGCGCTTTCCGGTGCACTTTGCGAGGAGACTGTTATTGGTGAAATTGTTTTAATCGAATGTTCAATTGATTAATTAAACGCAGAACAATTAAACCGATACGAATAAGGTAACTTGTCTTAACATTAATAAAGTGAAATGTGAAAGTTTACCAAATTTAACTTATGGACTAACTGCGAATATTCTAGAAAGGGATGCAAGATATTTAGAAATATCTAGACGACCTATACCAATGCACAAAAATCCTGAGACTAGGGAAGAGGAGGGAGAGTGGGTGGCGCCTCGAGTAGCGGGTCACCGATACGTGATGACCACGACCAGTCTGACATGACTGCGGCGACGAAGAAGCGACGACCCAGATTTGATTAGTAGCTGTATACATACTTTTATATTACTAGCTGTCGCTAACGACTCTCTCCGCGCGTAGTAAAAAAAAGAACTTAAAAAATAGCCAATGTGTTCTTCCAGACTATCTTCTATATCTGTGGCAACGTTGAAAAAGTTCGGTTGTGCCTTTCCGAAATTACCTCCGAACATACATCCATCCATCTAAACTTTTGCTGATTATTAGTAATATAAGAATATTCAATAATACTCAAGAAGACTTGAGATCGAGATACACCATTGGATGGTTTGGTTAATATTTCAAAATAACTTTCTTGTCGTACCAATTTCCAGTAATCGCATATCTGTCAGATAAATGTGTTTACTGGTACAACGCATAGGTATTGTCTTTGTAATCTGCGACAATTAAGTTGTGTCAAGAAAAATGTTCTCAACAATAGTATTAATTACATACTTAAGTTTACACTAATTAGCCGGCTTATTATTTTAAAAGATTCTAATGATGTTCGTACTTAAGATAAATTTTAATTTATAGCTCTAATACGGTATTAAGGACAGTGGTCGTAAATGTTTTGTTAGTGTTTGGAAATTAGCGCATGTGAATTCCAAACTATCTTACTAATAATATAAATGTGAATGTTTGGATGGATGGATGGATGTTTGTTAGAAGGTATCTCTACGTTGGTTGCATGGAAAGAAATTTGGCATAAATGTAGAATTATAGGCTAGAAGAACACATAGGCTGCTATTAATTTTTTTTTAATTGTCTGCGGACAGAGTCGCGGGGGACAGATAGTATATAATAA